GCCGGTCGAAACGTAGACAGAGGTGTTAGGGTGGACAACGCTCATCGAGTGTGTTCGTTACACAGTCAAGGCACAGGACAGCCGCCCGTCAACCAGACACTTGGACAGACAAACAGACAGGACCAGAGACAGTCGGCGATTGGGTGGGTGGTTTGGGGAGGTATGAGGTGGCTTTGGGTGGTTGGGAGGTAGGAAGGTTGAAAGTGAAAACAATGCCTGGCCGCAAACGGCTGGGCAATGGCTGTCCAGGGAGGCCAGGACCGCCTGGCGAGTGAGTGTGTGCGGATGCTTCTTGCTGAGTGTTTACTTAACCGTAAGCCTGACCCACCAACCCACCGACCCAGCCACCCACCTAGCCACCCACCGACCCCCGGCGGTGTGCTGAACTTGAACCACATAGAAACAACAAAGGCGAACAGATAAAGCAGCGACGGAGAAAAAAGGGTTGGCCAGGATCTTAAAGGATTGCTCAAGTTGGCCAAAACCAATATGTAAATGTGCGTGTTGTGATTAAGCACAAAAGCAAAGTAAGCCAGATACAAAAGACGGACAAAGACAGTTGGACAGAAGGACAGACGGTAGAGTTTTCTCGTCCAAAAGCCAAAATCTCCAACCGCACCGCACACACATAATGTGGGCCAAAAACGAAGCCAAGCAAAAACGCAGCCTTGGCTAACTTTACACACCTCAAGTGTTTGTTTAGGTTGCTTTGCTTTGCTTGGGGTTTTGGTTTCGGTTTTTGTTTGAGCGATTGCAGCAGCAGCCGGGGGAAAAACACTTAGGAAAAATTAGCAAAAACAAAAAAAATAAGGAAAGGAAAAAGGATTAGTGCAACTCGTTCAACTCGAGAGAAAAACCATTTCTCAGTGGTCAAAAGTAGTTTTGGGAAGCTCAAAAAACTTCGCCGAGCATTTGCAAAGTCCTCAAAGGAGCCCACAAACAATCTAAAGTAGGCATTCAAATTTTCTAAACGAAATTAAAGGCATTAAAAAGCCAAACTTAATTATGGCATTTTGTAGGAAAATCAAAGATCCAAGATGTTTTTTATTTACTAATATTTTGTAATAATTTAGGTAAGAGAAACTAAGATTAAAGAAAAATGTAGAACAGCTCTAACATAAAAATTCAGAAAATTAAACCAAAAATTCTCATAAAATGATAACATTTGGTACAAAAAAAAAATTAATACATTTATATTAAATCAGAGTATTATATTAAGATTATTAAGAAATATTATTTTGTAAAAATGTTTCTAATAGAAACTATGATTAAGGAAAAAGTAAGATCTATTATATCTTTAAAGTAAGAAAGTTAAAAAAAAAAACATCTGCAAAAATTATCCTAATTTAAATTTGTAGCATTTGGTACAACAAATAAATAATTTCATTTCATTTAAAACAGTGTATTGCATTAGGATTCTGCGGCCACTTGACGCCTTTGTTGTTTTTGGCCAGCTGTATTATAAATCTTGCCCGCAATATAGAAAACGATCAGATCCCGGGTCAGGACCCTGCCACCTCCAACACTTCCCCATGGCCGAAGACAATGCCTTGGAACCCTATTAGCGTAGAGCAATCCTCCTTGGCAGCCTCCTCCAAAGGAGTGTGTGGAGTTTTAAGGGGTCCGGCCATAAATTGCAACCGCCAGGTGAGCGGTAAGTGGGTGCCGGGTGGCTAATGGGTCACTCCTTGATGTATCACACAAACAGACACAAATGATATTTATGCTGCCGCAGTTGCTCCTGCTCCTTATTTTGCTCCTTGGGTTTTCCTGCGGCGTAAGGCTTCTTATGGACAGCAGCCGCGCTCTGCTTGGTGTAATAAAAACTAAAATCCGCACAACAATATGTGCGAGGATAATGCCATTTCCGTTTTATGGGAAATCCTGTTAGTCCTGCGTTTGTGTGTGTGTCTCTGTGTGTGTGAGCGCTCGCATGTGCGGCTTCGGCTTCCTCAAGGAGCCCCAAATCTGAGCGGAGCGAACGAGTTACGACTACACCGGGCCAAAAAGAATAAACCCGGGCGAAGAGCTATTGCGGTCGCCATGCCAGTGATGGGTTGCGATAGCATTCGCAGGACTCGCAGGGCGTAAATGCGTGCCTTGCCTGGGAACCTGGCAATGAATGGATCAGGGATCAAATTTTATGGATTGCCCCGGCATACTATATGCGCACTCCACAATCCGCACTCCACACACCACACTCACATAATAATGAAGTCAGAACTAAGAAATAAATTCCACAAATTTCATTAGCCGAGGTTGTGGGAGTCGCCGGGAATTTAAAGTGCAGAGATTCGATAACAAAAGATGGGATGGGAAAATTATTGGCATTCGGTGTTTGGCAAGGTTAAGTGAAAGATTCCGACCTTTGGCTCAAATTAATTTATTAACTTGACAATAAATCTTTGATAAATGTGGCGCCTCAAGGCATTTTAAAGCTAGCGATTAGAAATGTTAAATTGCACAATCAAAATGAAATAATGGCTTTATGTAATCTCAACCATTTTCAATTGAGAAATAATGTTGAGAAAATTCCTTAATTTAAAAATTTAAATATAAGAAGTTAGTTAAAAAGTTAAGCAATATATATTTTAAGAGATCTGTAATAAAACTAAAAACTGTCAGATACCCATTACTGAGCCAAAGGACTGCACTGCTTGAATTTCATTATTTGCTCATAACTTTTCAGTAAAAGGTCCTATTTGAAAAATTTATATTGAAAAATTTGAACAAAATTGCATTTATTTTTTTCCGAAATCTCTAAAAATTACACCTTTTAAAAATATATATCTTAACCCCTAATAAAAACTAAAGAAAATATGAAGAGCACTTTTACACCCCGATAACTTTGCCCATCGCGGACTTACAATCAGCTAATCTGCCTTACATATTTGCATATCGCCTGGGCTTCAGCTTGGATTACGATGGTTATTCATTAGCCGCATTCCTGGACGCCCTGGGCCAACAACTGGGACGCTTGCTGCGGTTGGCCGCAGGACTTTCCTACCAACCCCTTGCCCCAAAACCATCTCTTTCTCAGCCATAACTAGGCAAACCTTTTTTGCTCAGTGTGTGTGGGGCAGGAACGGCAGGAAAAACAAACGTCCGACTGCTGGGAAAGTGTGTGTGTGTGAAGTAAAAAGCGCAACCGGAGAAGAGACGGATGGACAGCAGGACTAAAGAAGGGGGAAGAGGGTTTGAAGCGGAAAGCCGGAGAGTAAGAAAAACCATAACTAAATCCATTGCCATAGGAAAATCCAAAGCAAAGTCTGCGATGCAAATAGTAGAGATTATGGGACTGCAGATGTATGAAGAACGAGAACGAGATGGAGATGGAGCCAGGATATGGTGGCTAAAACTGAAACCCAAGGCGCGGCTCTCGTGGCCCAAAAAGGGGTGTTACTGGGTAGACGAAGGTCCCTGCCAGAAGGTGTTATGTGTACGTGTGTACGAGTGTATGAGGCACAATAAATCTTGCAAGGGTGCCGAATGGCCAGGCAAGGGGCTCGAGGCCCGGAGCCTGGAGCTTGGGCATTGGCATGGATTTGAGCCGGGACGTTATCCCCATCCCCCATTCCCGATATCCCCAATCCTACTCCGTTAAGAGACCTTTAGGTAGCACTACCACCCACCGCGCCCCGTCAGTGAAAACCAAAACCAAATAAAACTGACATTATGCGAAAAGCGAAAGCCATAACTAAAAGTTGGATAACGTGGCCATGATGGAGCCGTGTAGTGGAGTGGAGCCGAGGGGGAGTGGGTGAGAAATCCGGAGCAGAGGCAGCCGTAAAGTTGATACCAAAGCAAAGAGCAGAGCGTGGCAGACGAGCAAAGCTAAAACAAATCGGAGGAGCTATTGTCAAGAGTGCTAGACCAACAAGTACCCAGCAATCTCCGCAGAATAATAGCATTGCAGATTGGAATATTGTTATTAAAAAACTTGTGATGCTAAAAATATTGTCAACGATTAACTGTGGTCGTCAAATGTTATTTCTTTTTAATTTACCACTCTAAAATATATTTGGGTCAAAGATATGAACTATTGTTTGTATAAGCAAGGGACTTTCTATATATGTCCAAGCAGTTAATCTCCAAGCATCTTTTCCTGAAGTAGTGTAATTTCTAAACTAAAGTTTTTATTTCTTTTTCCACAAAAAAATATTTAATAGGAGATAATTTAAATAATCTCCTTAAAGTTTTAATTATAAGAAGACTCTGACATAAGTTTATCTATTAAAATATAATCATTAAATCTAGTTCCATAAATGAGGTCCTTAATAATTTTGTTTTAGTTTTAAATTTTTCTATTAAAAGTATTATTACCATTTGCAGTTTATATTAAAGTTGAAGTAAATAAATAAATTGTTCCATAAATGCGGTGCTTAGTCAAGAACATAAATTTGGGTTCCCTGTATCGAAAACTAATAGTTATTATAATAAGCACCTATTAATTTTGTAACAAAACCTGATTTGTAAAAAAGCCATGAAAAGAATCTACCAACAATACCGAATGATATTAAAGCATCATTCTAATTGCTGCTCTGGAAAAACTTGAGCCACTCCAACAGGTTTCAATTTGTACATCCGAGAAGCTCCTTATTGGATCATTAAATCAAGAGGAGCTGACCTAAAAAACTGAGACCGCTTAAATGCTGCTAAGCGAGCTCAGTTTGTTCTTTAATCGCTTACAGAGCCACCCAGGGCCCAGGACCACCCAAAAAAGGTAAAGGTGGCTCCCTAAGCCCGCGAATCCTCCTAACCACCTCCAAATGCACCACAATGGATTTGCCACAGCAAACTCCGCAGCACGGGCTGAATATTCTCCGATTTTACCCTTTCAACTCGAGGGTTTTCAGAAGGGAAAGGGAAAGAGGATTGAGATATCGGGTATGAAAAACAGAAACAGGAAAATAGAAATGATAGCAAAGTTGCAAAAGGGGAAGGGGACTAACGGGGATGCTGAAACGGAAATCGACTTTGGTAAGGAGTTTTTCTCGTACCTGTGAATCGGAATCTGAACGCTGGAGCTGCACCGAAGTTATGCAAATGTAAAGTTGTTCGTGCCTGGCCTCCTGGCTGCTGAATCCTGCGGCAGGATCTGCTGCTCCTGCTCCTTCTCCTCTACCCTTCCCTTCTGTCAATCGAAGGCGATGTCGCGAGTGCTAATGACGTTTGCTTTGATTGCGCCCCGCATGCGAAGCCAAATCTGAGCCACAACTCACAACTGTCATTTTCGCAGCGATATTTGTACTGTGCTTCAGCTATATATATGGTTCTTGAGTGTCTATCTCAGCTGTTTCTCCTCTAGGTCCTCGGTCCTCGGATGTCTATTTATTTAATTTGCATGCAATTTTCAATTTTTATGCTGAATACTTGGCATTGACAGCAAACGATGCGCACATTTCGCATCGGCAATGCACAATAGAAATTGAATTGCAAAAATTTGTTTGCCCGTCCAGGGCAGCAGGCAAATGGATTGCGAATATATATATTGTGGAATAGCGGATTTTCGAGGGCTCTTCACGTCTTCACGCCAATGTCACAAGGAGCTGGGAGCCAGGAGCGAATGCTCAAGGAGCCGAAAAAGGAAGCGTGAACGAGTTGAAGAAATCGCACAATTTGGCGGCGAAGATGTCAAGTATACGCCGCGTTGCCAGTGCCACACCGACTGCAATTACAATGGTGTGGCAACAACAATGGTAACGTTGGGTGGGGGTTTTTAGAAGGATATGCCGGCTACACACCACACCATTCACACACTGGCGGAGTTGAAGCCACAAATACGTACGCTCCGCAGGATCCAGAGGAAAAGTCTGAGTCACGAACGAGGCGACAGATCCTGGGGTTGCCCCTAAAAGTCGCAAGTGCACACAAAAAATCGCGCGAAATTTTTGAACGACAAAAAACCAAAACAAAACAACAACTCTTCGACTTCGACTGTTCGTTTAGATCACGATTGTGAGGTTAGGTTGTCGCAAAATCAGCCTGTCTCCACTACCGAACGCTCCGAAACTGAATTCGCAACTGAGGCGAGGACGCCAAAAAGGATGCTGCTGCCATCTGAAAGCCGAAAGGATGCCGACGAGGATACCGAAGAGGATGCCGAAGATGCTTCGGGATGCTGTTTCGGGAGAGCTTTTTGGCGAGAGAAAGAGAGCGAGAAAGAGAGAGAGAGCATTGGCGACGTGTGACTTCGTTAAATTTCTGCGGCGACAGCACACAAAACGGATTCGGAAGCGGAAGTAGCAAGTAAGCGAGCAAGGAGCGCTCTGTGTGTGTATGGGTAGCCCTATGTATGTGTGAGTGGGCGGTCTGAGTGGGTGGAGTGGCGCTGAAGTGGGCGAAGTAGCGCCAAGTGGCTGGCTAAAGTCGACTCGCGGAGCACGACCAGAATGGAAGTTTTGTGTTTGTGTTTTGCAATGCCAACTATACACACACGGTTGCCCCAACCCCCTCATACATATATAAATATTTATATATATATATTATAACCCATACATACTTATATGCCGGGGCATCAATATTCACATTCGCACTTGTGCGAGCATTTTCTGATTTGCTGCAATCGCGTTTGCCAACAACAAACTTGGCTAACAACAACAGTGGGAATGAGGAGGGGAATGGGAATAGGAGTGGGAATGGGGTATATTTTCCAACGGATGTTTGGTAAATCTTTGGCGCCGGATACCAGCCCTCCAGCCGGAGGAGTCCCGCCTCCTTAGATCGCCGGCCCCCGCGAGACATGGTTAGACCCTTCCCGTATCTTTCTTGTTCTTTCATACACTGGGAAAAATGGTGTGAGCGCAATTAAAAATATTATAAGACACATATTTTAAGTGGCGAAAACAAAAAGTTGTGGTACAAAATTCAAAAGTAGGTCACCAATAATAAATTTAATTCCAATAATTTTTGTAGATTATTTTAAACAAAAAAAATTGTATTCAAAAAATAAACAGCTTTATTTGTTGTTTAAATATTCTTAACAATTTAAGGTTGTTACGAAAATCATATTAAGCTAATTTAATTTATTTTATTTCTTTCTTATATTTCGGTGCCACAAGGACTTCCTTAAAAATTAATGCACTATACCTTTGTTAATTACAACTTTTTAATTTTGTAATTTTTTAAATGTTTCTACATTTTTTTTTGTTAATTTTCAAATAGGTTTTAATAGTTTTAAAAACTCAAAACAATAAAAAAATGGTCTGCTAATACAGTTAAGAAATCCCTGTTATAAGGTTTTAATTACAAATTCCCTATTCTTTTTTCAAATAAAAAATATACATTTTTCTCGGTGTATATAGCCTGCACCCATGGGTGTGTGAGTGTTGGTATCGATAACTAATAAAAGCATTACATTTATGTTTGAGCCAAGCGCTGTAGCCCCTTATTTTCCCCTTTCCCCCTCCGTTTCGCCCTGGGCAATAATTCAGTTTTCATTTCTCTGTTTTCCTCAGTTTCTCATTTTCATTTTGCAGCCAGTGCATGTGTGCCTTTTCCAACACCACCCCCTCCCTATTCCCTCCCCCCTGCTACACCACACTACACATTTGTGGCACAGTCATGGCCAGCTAATTGGAAACAGGAGCCAACTGCGCTTTCTTGGGCAGTTTTCCGTTTGCCTCGCCTTGAAGAGCTGACTTCGGGTGTCTCGTTTAGTTGCCAATTGCTTAGTTGATTTTCATTGTCTGCCCTTTGGGCCACACTCACAGGTGGCTAAAAGGGGAGAGAGAGAGGGAGTACAGGTGGAAAATGCAGGGCTTTTCCGCTGTATTGGCTTGTAAGTGAAACGATAAACGCTGTGTACCTTGCTGTCATTAATTGGCTGCCGGTTGATGTTTATGTCGTTAGCTCTTCGTTACTCAAAGGAGGCAAAAGCGGATTGGATGTTTAATAATCTTTTCACATTCAGTTGGTAACTGCTAGCTGGTTTTACTGGTTTCACTGATTTTCCTGCTCTTCCTACAGCTTCATATTCAATTAACTTTTCCAGGACAAATCTGTGCGGATTCTGTAAAGGACAGCCCGGCTGAATGTTAATTAATAATGTTTGTGCTTGTATATCTGGTATCTCTGGTGGGTGCTGTTTATGCCGCTTAGGCTGCGCTAAAGAGGAACGAGGAACTATTCTCCATTTCCTCACCTCAAACGGCTTCCGTCTGATCCTGAGTTCCTCAGAGTTCCACGTCTTCGTCTGCAGCTGCAGCTGCTGTCCTGCTATCCTGCTTTCCTGCTGTTTGTGTCAGGCTCTGCGTTTACCTGCGAGCGAGGGCGAAAAGAAAATATCCGGTTTTCAACCGCAAACTGCACTTTTCTACCCATTGTGCCCGGCTCCATTCGTTATCCTGCTGAGTGGCCCCAACCACCCAGCGTATCCCAGGTGAAGCCCACACAAACCAACGGACAGGCGTACGGACAAACGGACGGACAAACGGACAGGCAGACACACGTTCGGGACATTGAATTTGTTTTGGGTTTTGATTTTTCGATTTCAGATTGCACGTTTGAATGGCCAGAACCAGAACCAGAAGTAGAAGCAGAACCATAGCCAGAATCAGCAGCAGAATCAAAAGCAAAAAGGACCCAGGAAAGGAAGCGAGTGCCGACCTAAGCCCGACAAATTCAAGGCGCAGCTGAAGTGTTGACTGCCACATTTATCGCAGCTGCATCTGCAGCCACATGAAAATATTCCAATTGATTGCAAAGTGCTGGCCATTCAATAAACTAATTAAATACAAGTGGCGTATAATTAATTTGCTGTCGAGCACCGATTTTGATTTCGTTTTCGATTTCTTGGTGATATCCGGGGAATTGAATTTTTGTTTATGCCCATCCTTGACTAATTAAATTTACCAGTAGTCTCAAGAGAGAAAGCAGAGCAGAAAGCAGTGGCGCTTTCTAAATCCCACATAGCATTGTTGCTGAAAATTCATCATCAATTTTCAGCTCAATTCGCTCTTGCTTCGAGCATTGCAAATTGTGTTTGCATTCTCAATTTTCATATTTCTCATATTTCTAGCTTTTCGTGTTTGTCTTGGCCAAAATGGAAAAATCCTGAAGCCTGTTGAATGGAAAAGGAAGTGAAAATCAGTCTCAGTTTCACTGGAACAAAGAAAGAAGGAAATTGAGTTAATTTTGCAGTCACACTCGGGGGCTGGCTTTAATAAATATTTGAGTCCGTTGTGCTCAGTAATCGGCTAATGAATCGGTAGTGGCTACTAGCAAGTCGATTTCCAATGTAGTTTTTCCATTAGCCATTCGGTGAGCGGATAGCTGATAGCTTGGGGCCCCAAGGGATCCAACATAGAAAGGCTTTTATCTTTTATCTGCACAGTTAATGCACAATGGCTGCAGTTAAGGATTCCAGAGCTGCGAGGCAGCTCATCAAACTGGCATGCATGGCCTGGCCACATAATTGCAAATGACACCGCAAAGGGAATCCCCCTCTCAGTTTTTCCGAATGCAGGGCAAATGTTTCAAGACTACTTCTGTGTTTAGGCTCTTTCTCTGCTTTTTATACTCGTTACTTGTAGAGTAAAAAGGTTTTTTGTATTTGTCGAAAGTATATAACAGGTAGTAGAAACATATCATTGAAAAGTTATGAGCAAATAATGAAATGCAAGCAGTGCAAGCAGTCGCTTTGCTGCATATCTCCATCTCCCTCATACTTCCTTAGCTAAGTAACGGGTATGTAATAGTCGAGTTACTCGAATATAACGTTCTCTCTTGTTTTTTTTGTTTCCAACCATTTTTCTACTTTTTCTTTTCGTCCTTTGAGCCCTTTGACTGTAGTAGTTGTAGTTGTTGCAGCTTCAACTGTAACTGCAACTGAAACTGCAACTGCAATTGCTATTGCACTTGCAACTGCACCTGGCAGCGCTCCACTGGCCGCTTTTTCCACTTGTTTACCACTTTTTGTTCTGGCCTTGGCTTAGCTTTCTGCCATTGTTGCCGCTCGTTTGTTGCCTGTTTGTTGCATATCAGGGAATAAGTATTTCTGGCATTATGGCTATATGAGTGCTACGGCACACGGGGAAAAATGGAGAAACAACAGAGAAGAGAGAACGGAAAAGGAAGATAAAGCGACAGAGACAACTCTAATACACTTAACCCTCGGCTTGGCTCACGGGAATCCGCTCTGCGATTTCCCTTAGCTGATTGTTTTAGGGAAGCGCTTTTAGTGGAAAGGCACGGTTCTACGGGGAATAATTTTCAAAATCCTTAGGTATTTATTTAATTTCTAACCTGTGACCTTCACTCCTTTA